TTGTTGGCCGTGGTTCAACCCTGGGGCATCAGGATTCAATCCAAAACATTTTCGTTTATTGAGGCGTTGAGGAATTTTATTGAGGAACAGCTTCATAATAATTATAGCTTGCTGGCGGTTGAGAGGGGACTGGGAGATGAGGAAAGGCGGCGAGAAGTGCTGGGGACGGTAAAAGCAGAAGGAGGCTAGCGAGGGCCAGGGGAGGTAACGGGAAAGAGACGCGAGGCATAAACGAGGTCCGGTGTTACATGTACTGCTACATGCTAGGGCGGACTCTCCTAATTATAAACACAGCGGTCTACTGGCTAAATAGTTTTATTAGTGAAATCTATGCTGAGATACCCCCTAACGGCATCTTAAATGCATCATTCAATCAGCAAAAATATAACGCCTGCTGGTGAGATATTGCGCATGCGCTAAACGTAACGTAGCCAGATTGTGTACTGGCTGCGTATAATGCAGCGGGGAACTTACCATGCAGTTCTTCCATCCTATTCTCTTAATGATGTCTAACTGATGGAATGTTACATAGAAAGTGCTAACTCCAGATACCCTCTTGCATTTTAAATGCATATGCTTTGCAAAATAGCGATTGGCGGTCGGGAGATATTGCGGCATGCGCTGGTGGTATACCGCAGCGGTGGCGTCCCAAGGCGTCGTCGGCAAACGCTGGCTTCCATTACGTAGGTCACCACGGCGACGCCGGAAAATTCTATACCGGAGAGTCAGAGTGTGTTTGTACGGCTGCTGGTGCTGCTCGCGCGCATGTGTTGATGTGTAGCATTCGGCGCGGCGTGTTCGATTCGTTAAATAGCGGGAGAAGCTGCCTAGCACCTTTGGACGTGGTGGGATCTGATGACGGAGAGTTCTGGGGGCATGCAGTAGCTGCCCTGGTCGAATAATATGTTTATGTTTATACTATTCATCATATTATTATTATATATATATATATATATATAATATATATATATATATGCCAGGTGCATACATAATATGGTGAATATTATTATTGTGTTCCTGTCACAGTATTGTTCTGATATGATCATCGATATTTTGGTAATTATAACTATCTGTCGCTCTATCGCTCTCTCCTTTAAATAAATAATTAAATCAATCAATCAATCAATAAACACATATATAGGGCCTACTATATAGATGGCATTAGGCCACCGTAATATACAATACTATATATGTGGCATTGGGCCCCCATCATAAACTATTCTATTATTACAAGACTATATAGGTGGCCTTAGGCCCCGCCATACAAATACTATATATGTGGCCTTGGGCCCCCATTATACACTATTATTACAATTCTATATAGGTAGCCTTAGGCACACGGCATACAAATACTATATATGTGGCTTTGGGCCCCATCATACACTATTCTATTATTACAATACTATATAGGTGGTCTTAGGCCCCCGTCATACAAATTAAATATATGTGGCCTTGGGACCCCATCATACACTGTTATTACAATTCTATATATGTGGCCTTAGGCCCCCGTCATACACATATAACGCCGGCAACACTATAACGTGCTACTAATAACTTACCGAGTGCTGCACTTGCGCTTGTCTTGTTTTTTCCTATTTAATGCTATATTCATGCCTATGGGCATATGCGGCGATCACCGTTGACTGCCAAAAGAATTTTCTTCGGCCGTTCTCATACGTTCAAGCTAGTCGCGGGTGGGCCGACGGCACGTGTGCATGGTAAAATCTGATCCACAGGCTTTACTTTGCTCGCTGCTTCGCGCCACGATTTCCAGCTATGCTAATGTACACGAAAAAGGCGCTCCGACGTCGGTCGCCGTTGACAGCCAATATAATTTTCTTCGGCCGTTTTTAACTGGGGCCGAGCAGGGTGACAGCACGTGTGTTTGGTAAAATCCGATTATAATATTCACTTTGCTCTCAGCATCTCGCCTTGGGTTCCCAGCTATGCCGATATTAATGTACTTGCAGATGGCGCTCGTGCGTTGGTCACCGTTGACTGCCATGAGAATTTTTATCGGCTTTTCTCATAGTCTCAAACGTTCAAGCTAGTCGCGGGCGGGCCCACGGCATGTGTGCATGGTAAAATTTGATCGACATGCTTCACTTTGCTCGCAGCATCAATCCCTAGGTTCCCCGCTATGCCGATAATAATGTTATGTACGTTGCAGATGGCGCTTGTGCGTTGGTCACCGTTGACTGCTAAGAGAATTTTCTTCGGCCGTTCTCATACGTTCAAACCAGTCGCGGGCGGGCCGACGGCACATGTGCCTGGTAAAATCTACTCTACATGCTTCAATTTGCTCGCAGCATCAATCCCTAGGTTCCCCGCTATGCCGATAATAATGTACGTTGCAGATGGCGCTTGTGCGTTGGTCACCGTTGACTGCTAAGAGAATTTTCTTCGGCCGTTCTCATACGTTCAAACCAGTCGCGGGCGGGCCGACGGCACATGTGCCTGGTAAAATCTACTCTACATGCTTCAATTTGCTCGCAGCATCGCGCCACGATTTCCAGCTATGCTATAATTGTAGACGAAAAAGGCGCTCCGACGTCGGTCGCCTTGATCTTTCCAAGATAATTATCTTTTGCCGTTCTTATACGTTCAAACTGGAGCCGGGCAGGCTGAAAGCACGTGTGCTTGGTAAAATAAGATCTATAATATTTACTTTGCTCGCAGCATCACGCCCTGGTTTCCCCGCTATGCCGATATTAATGTACGTGCAGATGGCACTCGTGCGTCGGTCACCGTTGACTGTCCAGAGAATTTTCTTCGGCCGTTCGCATACGTTCAAACTTGTCGCTAGCGAACCGACGGCACGTGTGCATGGTAAAATCTGATCTACATGCTTCACTTTGCTCGCAGCATCGCGCCACAATTCCCAGCAATGGTAATGTACACGAAAAAGGCGCTCCTACGTCGGTCGCCTTTGACTGCCAAGATAATTTTCTTCGGCCATTCTTATACGTTTAAGCTGGAACCGGGCAGGCTGACGGCACGTGTTCTTGGTAAAATCCTGTCTATAATCGTTGCTCGCAGCATCACGCCCTAGGTTCACCGCAATGCCGATATTAATGTACGTGCAGATGGCGCTCGTGCGTCGGTCACCGTTGACTTCCAAGATAATTTTGTTCGGCCGTTCTCATACGTTCAAACTAGTCGCGGGTGGGCCGACGGCACGTGTGCATGGTAAAATCTAATCTTCATGCTTCACTTTGTTCGCAGCATCGCGCCACGATTCCCAGCTATGCTAATGTACGCGAAAAAGGCGCTTCGACGTCGGTCGCCGTTGACTGCAAAGATCATTTTCTTTGGCCGTTCTTATACGTTCAAACTGGAGTCGGGCAGGCTGAAAGCACGTGTGCTTGGTAAAATAAGATCTATAATATTCACTTTGCTCGCAGCATCGTGCCGCGGTTCCTCCTATGCTAATGTACATGAAGACGGCGCTCATGCGTCAGTCACAGTTGACTGCCAAGATAATTTTATTCGGCCGTTGTCATACGTTCGAACTCGTCGTGGGCAGGCTGACGGGACGTGTGCATGGTAAAACCCTCTCGTCAATATCGGTTCCGGGAATATCAGTAGCACTTCCGGCGTTGCCAGCCTCAATTACAGATACGTTCGAGGACACGATTCTATTACTGGACGGGGAATAGTCACGCATTGCACACCCACGATACTACGAGTTCATAACTGAAAGGCATAAGATTCGTTACGTTTAGATTAATGCAATAGGGTGTTTAACACGCAACTATTTACAGACAAACAATATGCGTGCACCGTGTCTCACTGCACACTCGCTTCAGCTTCGCGTGACAACCATCACTCGCCAGCAGCCCAAGTCGTGAGCCGAAACCCCTCAATTTTGCTTTCCCTCTTTAATTTTTAAGAGTAGTTTTGTCGTTTTTAAATAAACACAATAGTAAACACTGCATGTCTTTCAACAAAGTTTTATTTTCGTTCACTGAGTTATCAAAGGGTTATAAAAAAAAAGTCAACAACATGAGAAACAACAAATTGCTAACAGGGTTGTAAAACTGTATCAAATAAAGAGCCTCCTGTTTCAGATCTATGTTAGGGTGAGCTAAGCAACAATTCCAAACAATTCAACAATTCAACTCAACTTCCACCTTGTTTTTACTGGCCATATTATCAGGAGTCCACAGAGATTCATCATCATAAAGATCTATTTATATACTCCTTATATCATTACATTGAAAAATTACAGAATTATTTTCTTAAACTGACTAATATATTTCGAAGTCTTATGGAAAAGCACGCGATTCTGAACAACAATTTGCTAGTTTACTTCCATTCTTTCTTTTCGTAATCCCAATTGGAGGAGAGGCCTTCTATCCGACCTTGCTGCTGATCAATAATTCTCTTTAAACTGGCAGCCTTCCACTCGTCACTGAGTGTGTGAGGTGGTTTCTCATATACTATAGAGAAAAAACGAATATGCCATTGAATCCCTCTGCCACAAGAAATGTGGAATATCTGACTAAATATGTGCATGCACACATTTACGTGCAACAACAGATGCATGCATGCATCCATCCACGTGTGCACTTATGCACGCACATGGAATTTTTGCGTGCACACCTACTTCACTACTACACAGCTTATCTATTCATTCCAGAAGATTGAAGGAAACATGACTAACCACACACCTAAATTGTTCAAATATGAACTAGGCAGTTAGTTTCATTATTTACATATGAGATATCTTTGTTCCAGAAAGTGATTCTCTAGATATTGACTATACCTGATTGATACTTATGCTACAGAACAGAATACGGATAAACGTGTTGTCTAATAGAGTTCCAAAGTCTATTAAAGGCTTACCATATAACTTAACCAAGATGACAATCCACAGCGCCAGTGTTATGCCAAAGATCGTGCCTGCGGTCAGCGACTTCCATTCACCGGTGCCTTGAGCATGCATTTCAGCAAACGTTTGGCAAAATGAAGCTCGATACACTGAAGAAGACCAAAACCATAACGAATAAATGAGCGTTTAAACAGATGTGCCAATTGAGAAATTGAAATAAACAAGCACTTATGAAATAGGTTCTGTAAAATATCTTGATCTCGTATGGTTAAACTGAAAACAGATTACAATTTACATAGACGTGTAAATTTACATAACCCTTTTACTAGTTTAACACCTAGCAATTAGAATGTCCCTAATTATTTATATTTTAATACAGTCAATCATGAGACAACAACAAAAATTAAAGCCTATATCATATTAATACAAGTGCCGCGGAGCGACAGCGCTCATCTAACGTCTACTGCGGTGCCTCTGTGGTGAAGCGGTGTGATTCTAGTAAACC